GACATTGATCAGCTGCCCCCTGCACATCCCTCACTGGGGATGTGCCGGCAACCCAGGGACATGCCCTTGACCGGGATCGAACCCGGGATCCTTCAGTCCGCAGGCCGACGCTCCATCCATTGAGCCAAACCGGTTTCGGCGCCTTCCGTTTTTTATTATTTATTTTTCTGGTTAATCCTCCTTCGAAGATACTTTTTTCATTGATTTTTAGAGTGGAAGGGTAGGAGGGAGGGAGAGAGAAACACCGATGGGGGAGAGACATGGACTGGCTGCTGGCCACACACGTCCAGGCCAGGGCCAGGGAAGAACCTGCAATCCAGGGACGTGCCCTTGACGGGGAGTCGAACCCTCGGGTGGAAGGGCCAGAGCTCTAACCACTGAGGACACCAGCCAGGGCTGTGCCTTTCCACCCGCTGCTCCTCCACTTCTTCGTGCCCCACGCCCAGGCCAGCTGGGGAGTCCACCTCTCCTGTGAGGCTCCCGGACACTCCCTCCTGCTCCCACCGTCGCCGGGGGAGCTGCTGACACTCTCCGAGTGGCATCCGTTTGTGCTCCTGCCCCTCCTTCCGCTTCCCACCAGCCATCGGCCCTGTTCGTTCTACCCACGCTCACCGCGGCTTTGCCTTCTCCACCATCGGGACCTCCTGTGTGGCCTCCTTGCCGCCCACGTCGGTTCCAGCAGGGCCCCTCCTGCCTCCTCCACTCCCTGCATCTGGCCTTGTTCTGGGCGATGGGGAGCTCTCTGATGCCTCGCCTTCCACCGCAGAGCTTCCTGAGTAGGGTACCGGTTTGCCAAGACAGGAGCCGCTTTGGGCCAAACAAACCTCACCACTGACCCTCACAGGCACCCGGATGTGGTCACCTTTCTGCGAGTGCGCAGTGATATGAAATGGTTTCCAAGTCGTGCCCTCGGGGAGGAAGCTCAAACCCCTGTGCCTGCCATTCGTGATGCGGTCCCACGGGCCCGGGGACGACTCGCAGTTCTTAAAGAAGCCATGTTTCCTGCCCATGTGCCTTTGTATCTGTGTCTGCGGCTCCTAAACCTACCACCCGGATAGTCACTCCACGTGTTTCCCGAGATGCCGTGAGCTTCCAAGAGCAGGGCCCTGCCTTACTCTCTGACCCACCAGATATTCCTACAGGACCCAGCAGACCCGGACTCTTGTCTGCTGAATGCACGTGCTGGGGCCCATGCCTTCCCAGGCAGCTGCATGTCCTTGTGTGTGTGTGTGTTCTGGGCTGTCTCCCACCACCATGGGCTCTACAAGGCAAGAGCAACCGGATTCTCCCAGGGTCCCAGCACGCAGTGGCCTCAATAAAATGTTACCAGCCCCACCAGCCTGGCTCCGTGGTTGAGTGTCAACCTATGAACCAGGAGGTCACAGTTCGATTCCCTGTCATGGCACATGCCCAGGTTGCAGCTCCATCCCCACTTTGGAGGCACGAGGGAGGCAGCCAATCAATGATTCTCATCACTGATGTTTCTCTCCCTCCCTCTCCCTTTCTCTCTGAAATCAATAAAAATATATTTTTTTATAAAAGACCAAGGAGTGAGGTTCAGAACAGGAAGGCAAAGCCCTGGGGAGATGAAGATCTTGTGTCGGTATCTCCACGAAGGTCCCAGAGACACCCGGACTTGGACAGACACCCACCCAGAATGCCCCAAGGCGGACAGGAGAGCAAGTTGATGGGCAGAGGGAGAAACTCCGAGACGTGGGACATGTCTTCCTAGGGACATGGCCACGGCACGCACCTGGCTCGGGCCTGGGACAGGCTGCAGGGAGTGGAGGAGACGGACGTGAGCCTGCAGTCCAGCTGCAGAGGGACCCGGAGAAGTGACTCCGCTCAACCCGGGGGAGCTGGTCTGTGCAGCACCTGACCCAGGGCCTGGCCTGGCTCTGGCTGGCACGTCAGTCTCCACCTCCCTCTGCACGGCTCGCCCCTCTGTCACCCAAGGAGCAGACTCTCCCTCCGCTGACACTCAGCATCTCCAGAGCCCGCTGTGTCGCCAGGTGTGTACCCACATCTGTCTAAAGCAGGAAGAGGGTGGAGGGGGGGGGCGGGGTAGGGAGAGGAGTCTTTGTTCTTAATCCTCACCTGGGATACTTTTCCATTGATTTTTAGAGAGAATGGAAGGAAAAGAGAGAAACATCGATGTGAGAGAAGGACACTGCTTGGTCTCACACGTGCCCAGACCTGAGGCTGGGCATTGAGCCTGCAACCAAGGTATGTGCCCTAGAACCTGGGACCCTTCGGTCCGTGGGCCAACATTCTACCCACTGAGCAAACCGCCTAGGGCGGAGTCTTTATTCTTAATGTTTTCATTGACTTCAGAGAGTGTCCTGCGGGCACAGGGGCTGAGATCACAGGGGCAGAGAACAGAGGGGAGTCCCGTCCCTCCCACAGCTGCATGCTCCCCCTGGGAGGCCTGGCCTTTGGCGGGGACACAGCCCAGCACCGCCACCTGGTGGCCGCTCTGCCCGGGGACGGAACTAAGTGCAGCCTCTCAACTGCCTCCCTGGGTGGGGGCTGGTTTGGTCCAGGTGGGAGGGGTTGGGTGTCTGGAGCCTCAGCTCCCTACGGACACTGGCTGGGCCCAGCAGCCAGGAGGGAGGCATCTGGGTGGAGGAAGAAGGTCTTGTAGAAGGTGGGCTCCAGCCCGGCCAGTGGCTCAGTGGTTGAGCATCAACCTGTGAACTAGGACAGTGATGGGGAATCTATGGCACGCGTGTCGGAGGTGGCATGCGAACTCATTTTTTTTGGCTGATTTTTCTGTGTTAAATGGCATTTAAATATATAAAATAAATATCAAAAATATAAGTCTTTGTTTTCCTATGGTTGCAGATATCAAAAAATTTCTACATGTGACACGGCACCAGAGTTAAGTTAGGGCTTTTCAAAATGCTGGCACGCCTAGCTCAAACGGTTCGCCATCACTGGACTAGGAGGTCACAGTCTGATTCCTGGGTTGCGGGCTCCATCCCCAGTGCAGAAGGCAGCTGGTCAGTGATTCTCATAATGCATGTTTCTTTCTCTCTCTCTCTCTCTCTCCCTCTCCCTTCCTCTCTGAAATCAATCAAAACATATTTAAATTTTTTTTTTCATATTTAAAATTTGAAAAGGAAAAGAGAAAGGTGGGCCCTGGAGCCCGTCCTCGGCCCCTCTACCCCGAGGCCCCAGCCCAGCACTGCCCACCTCCCTCAGCCCTGGGCATCCAGCCCTTCAGCAGGGCTGCCACTGGCAAAAGACACGTTCTAAAGTCTTTTCACATTTATTAATTCCTGGGAGGAGTGAGGGGGAGCCCCATTTAAAATTTAAAAAGGAAAAGAGAAAGGTGGGCTGTGGAGCCCGTCCTCGGCCCCTCTACCCCGAGGCCCCAGCCCAGCACTGCCCACCTCCCTCAGCCCTGGGCATCCAGCCCTTCAGCAGGGCTGCCACTGGCAAAAGACACGTTCTAAAGTCTTTTCACATTTATTAATTCCTGGGAGGAGTGAGGGGGAGCCCTCCTGATGCCCCCCCACACACTCTCCCTGCTCCGGGCGTGGTCCAGCCGCGAGCTGCAGCAGGAGGAGCAGAGCCGGAGGGAACCAGGAGACCCTCAGCAGCCAGGTCTGCAGATGGATCAGCGTTCTAGACAAAGTTGACAAAAATGGTAGGCGAGGGAGGGCCCTGGGTGCAACCCTGGCAGACCTCCTGGAGCCCCCGCAGTTAGGAAGCAGATGAGTCAGCTCCCCCAAACCCTGCCCAGGCCTCCCTCCTGGCGCTCCAGCTGACCAAGCTCCTCGCTGCCCCAGGGCCTTTGCACCTGCTCTTTCCCCCACCAACTCCAACAGAGCACACTAACTGATGCACCGGGGCGGGCACGCCCGATAGAGGGCGCAGGCTGGGCAGAGGTGAGGGGTGTGGAGGGGGAGGAATCCAGCTCTCAGAACCCAGGGGGACTTCACCTGCCACCTGGAGCTCCACGGGGTCGCTCAGCTCAGACACCAGGGGCCACCGGGAGCGGTAGCGGCAGCTGTACTTGCCGGCGTGTTGGGGCCCCACGTAGGTCAGCACCAGGTCCTCGGAGGGGCCATATGCCGAGGCCACCACTTCGCCCGCTGCCAGCAGCTCCAAGGATTGGTGGGCCACAGGGGTCTCGCAGCGCAGGACAGCGTCCCGGCCCGGACTCACCTTCCCGCTCCACAGGGGCCGGAGCCGCGGCTTGGGGAGGGGTCCTGGGCGGGG